TCATGGATGAATGTGTATTCAAGACTTGCCATCCTGCAGGAAGAGCTGCCAGGGGTCCTGGGCTCCAATCTGCAGCAGCTTTTGAGCTCCTTACGACCCCTGGAGGCTTCAGTGATCTTGATGAGACCCACCAGGAAGCCACAGCCCTGCTCAGCCCTGGGCACCCAGCCTTGCCTTGTGTCTGGCTCCTGGCTGAATCTTAGACCTGCCTTGTGGCTCAGCTTCCAGCCCTGCCTCTGCCAGTATCTCCTGGTCTGGACCTTGTATCACCTTGTCCAGGGCTCTGCCTCCTGGCTCAATCCCCTATGGCACAATGAGGTCTCACTGGGGGTTTGGATTGTGTTTGACTGTCCCTCGGCTCCCAGGTGTTCTCCCTCACGAAACAACTCTGCTCTTACAGTTCCCTGCTGTTTCTTTTCCTTCAGCCTAGAGGAGCAGCAATGCAGACCACCAGGAAGTGCCTCTAGAACTCCATGGATGAGGGTGGTGGGGATGGCAAGCAGTACTTTGGGGTGGATGGACATAAAGCATATATATATATATATATATATGTATGTATATATGTATATATATATATATATATGTATATATATATATATGTATATATATATATATATATATATATGTATATATAGCTAATAGACAAGAGGTATACACACTCCTGTTTCTATAGCAGGACCACTATTGGGATAAACTATTCTATTTGCTGTCTAGTTTATAAACTAAGAGTCAGAGCATTACAGCAGGAGAAGACCACTTGACCCAACATAATGCACTTCTGGAGCAGTTTCTATTCTCTGTGAAATCTGGTGGCTTTACTCCTAGCTTCAAGTTATTTCCCTGAACAGGAAAAAACTACTATGTGCTAACTTGACTTGATAGACACAACTCCATCGGAGCATTTTCCTTTTACAATACACTGCCTTGCACCAGTGACACAGCTCATTGTCTCTGCTGCTCTTGAGCCTCACCAAAACAAGGAACAGGCCCTCCTTTAACAGGTAACTTCCACTTTTCCTGTAAAAAAAAAATCATACCACCACCTCCCTTCCCCTAGCTTGAAAACTTGAAGGGTAACAAAGTACCACATAGTTCATAAAGATTTTTTTTCTCACCCAGTTGTCTCATATCCAAAGAGAGACAGTAATTACTGTATTGCCTCTCACCTAGACATGGATAAAGACATGGATAAAAATAGGCTGGTGTCACATTGCTGTTCCATGCTATGACTACGTGTTTGCAAGGCTGGCTGAGCTATCCCAGAGCTTTTTGACATTAACACTCCAAAGGTGCAAACAGACCCATCCCTCACAATCCTGAGATGGCCAACTGGATGTACCCAGTTGCTTTTCCTTCATATATTCCACTTTTGAGCCTGCAAAGTACTGAACTCCAGCAAACAGCCCATCCTACATGCATTCCTTTTGTACTGCTTCTTCAGCACTGCATCCAAGTGCCTGCATTAAGATCACACACCAAACACCCTGCAGGCAAAGGGAAACTTCTTTCTCCCACTTACGAGGTAATCAGCTTGGTTCAGCTTTTACACCTCTGAAGTTTTCAGCACTAGGAAAATAAATGTAGAGCACAGGTTGGATGTGAAATACATGGAAGAAGTATGCAGCCAGACCCAGGGTGTGAAAAATTGGACAGAGTTGCAGAGTGGGAATATAAGGAGCAGGATTCCCCCTGGATCCTGAAACTGAGAACATGATCTTGGGCTGGACAGGCATGCTCTTCATTCAACAGTAAAAAAGGAAATCCACAGCCAGTTTCTCTTCCCTTCCTCCTGATTTCAGTGGTATAACAACCCCAAATCCACATCACTACGAAGCCATAATGAGCAGCAAGGGGAAACAAAGCCAGACATACTTTTTACTAATCAATAATTAAATGCTACTTTCAGGAAATATCTGAAAGTGTCTTGTATGCCTTAGGTCAGAGTAAAGTTTTCATTTCAGAACCCATTTAATCAGGCATATTTGGAGTTATGCCTGAAATTCTTGGTGTCATAAATGAGAATAAGAAAAGTAACATTATGGTCAATTACTTTGGCAGGGAGAGGGGGGAATAGAAGGTAAAAGAGAATGTGAAGCTGAAAAGAGCCATAAGCAGTGTATTACCTGCTAAATCAAAAAGGACATAGCTGTATGTCTAAAGGAAGGATGCACTAACACAGACACCATATTCCAGACTGATACCCAGGAGGTACATGAAGGAAGAAGGGATGAGATGTCATACAGAAAAGCAGGTCATCATACAGGAAATAGGGATAGGCAGAGCAGTCTTGCCTGGGATGTTACCATGTGGCAGGAGGCTGTGAATATGATGAATGGTATCAGGTTTCAATGAGGGCTAGTTTCTGCTCCCCCAGCAGAAAGGTTAAAACTCACTGCTGGCCCAGGACATGGAGAAGTGGAGTTAAGCTCCAAGACCTGGATGCTAGGATAATTCTGGGGGAAAAGGATAATTTTCTTCCTGTTTTATAACACAGACTGCTCTCTGAAGGCTCTGGGGAAAATGCCAGCACCTGTAGAATGTTTAACTTGGGATAATACAGATAATTTTGTGCAAAAGGTGTCTAGGCTGGAGTGGGAACAGGACACTGTTGTATCAACCTCAGGCAGGGAAAGTTACTGACCATACAGTTCAAGGCTCACATTTGAATCCCCCGAGCCTTAATAGCATGCCTTTAAATAAAACAGAAATGAAACAGCTCCTTTAAAGATGAATAGATATGTAAATATTAAGAGTAATACAAGAACTGTAAAAAAACACATTGCCCCACTGCTCTATTCAGGCTGCAGTTTTCTGGAGATTTTTCTCTGTGGAAAGCCCTAAGACCACAAATGTTGCTTTTCAGCTGAAATAAACAGGCTAAAGGGAGAAATACCTGGAGTCCAGGTATATGCAGCTGGGATTGCTGTTGATGTCAGGTGTTTTTCCAAGTGGAACTGACCACCTGCTGCTTTGGAGATACCATCTCCCATAGAAATATTTTTAATCTCCACTTTACAAATACTTCTGTTTACCAGACAAAATCCCCCAAAACCCAACAACAAATAGTGCCTGCCTATGTGAAAAATAGGGAGAATGACTGTAGAATTATAAAACTTACTCAAGTCACTTCAGTATTCCACCTAAAAGGCTTCCCTTATAAGATACTTATCAGGCTGCTTCTGTAGCCAGTAGATACAGGTCCATCAGGTGATTCACCTCATCTGGTGTTACACAGGGAAAATAGTTGGAGGAAACCTGCTTTGAAGATGCTTCCCCTGCCAGTTCATTTCCCAACTGACCTTTAAATAATAGGCACATACTGTAGCAGGCTCTCACCACACTGGGATGAATATTGCCCACTTAAACCTCTTCACTTGTCCCAGTTGATAGTCATACTTCCTTCATGGCCCAGAAAAAAGTGCACAAGCAAAAAAACGGAGTGATACCTTTCTTTTGCTAACAAGTCCAGAAGATCCTGTTTGCTAAAACACATCCCTTGGTAACCTCAGCTTCATCAGACAGCAAGTTCAGCTTCTGTGCTAACTAAAGGAGCAAACATTTCATGCATAACACATTTTGGTTTGCCACTGAGATGGAGCAGCGGGATGGATGGCTGAGGGAGACAGTGGCTTTTGGTAGAACCTTTGTGTGACAACCAATTCCCGACTCCATTAGACCCAGACTGCTGCTCTGCAGTCTTTAATGTGGAGACAGAGAGAGAGGTCAGGGCAATGTACGTGGATAAATCAGGCATTTGCAGTAATGGAATATTATAGTCAACTTTATTAATGAATCTTCAGTGCAAAGGGAAAATATCCTGGCACAAAAAAGACCAGTGAGTTGAAGAACAGGACAGCTCCATATTACACTGCCTTCCCCCTTTGCACTGATTTGGGCAGCATGTGTAATGCTCAGAGAACAGAATCATATATCCTAGTTCCCCCAGCACTCAGTTCATATTACTCAGCACAGTCAAAATCCTTCAAGCTGATCCTCAGGCAAAACTCACCCTAAAGTCAGTGGGCATTCATTGAGAATAAAGATTGAATAGGAACCAAAGTCTCAACTCAATTCTCAGTTGAGCTTTGCAGACCAACCATCAGGACTGGAAATACATTTGATTTTCATCATCATGAGAGAACAGCTAGGCCAAATAATCCCAATTCTACTCTCTCTTAATTTCAGCATCAACTGGACAGATAACACAAAACAGAGTTTAGCATCTGGTTGCTCAAGGTTAATTCATAAAGTGACTGTACTGGAAGAGAAAGGAAATAACCTTTGAAGCTCTTTTTCTGGTATTCTGTTACTGCTTCTTTCCTATAGCTCCCTGAAAAACACTTGGTTTAAAAAAGCTGTTCATATTTCCTCTTGTGCCAGACACCACATTTTGTTTGGTATATACATTTCTGATAGCCTTTCCTCCACAGATGTCTATAAAGTTCACATCAGTCAGTTCTTCAAACTAGGTATATTAACACCAACACAGAAAATTTTGTTCCAAGCACAGTTTTTCCTTATGTCTATGTTCTGCTGTTCACTTTTGCTTCTGTAAAGATGACAGTATTGCTACATATGCAGGATAGTCAGGACTCCTGTGATGCTTAACACAGGCTGTAAAGAGCTGTAATGGCCCATTTTCACTGTCAGCAACGAGGCCTGACATGGCAGCAGCTTCTGGCACTAGCAGCTTTCTGAGGGAAAGGGGAGATTTCAACTTAACTTCATTGCTCTTTTTTACTTTTCCTAACTTCCTTCCAGAAATGACAATTCTTGAAAATGCACTTGTAGAAATAAAGAAAGAAAAGGAAAAGAAAAAGAAGGCAACAACCACCATAAAATCTCCTCCCATTTATCACTGTAACATTTCTTGGGTGGTAGAACAGGGTCCAGTGACGTTTGGGGTGAGGAGGAAAAGGTAGGGGGCAAAGAGGCAACACATTTCAGACTCCTTAAAGCCATCAGAAGAGTTAGAGATATGAAATCCAGTTTATAATTACCTCTGTTGAGTGAAGCTGAACTGTTTATATCTCCAGTAATAAAGGAAGACTCGGACTGCTTTCGAACTGTGTCATTCCACATCCTACGAATCCGGCTCTGAAGGGGATTGAAGCACAGCAGGCAATGAATTTTTAGCAGCTGTAGAGAGGTTTATTTCTGCCTCACTAAGGATGGCTACTGGCATGTCTAGCTCTGGATGAGACTTGCTTCTAGCCAGCTGTAAGCAAGCAGTTGCTGTTTTGTTGTAACCTGCCTCATGCATACCAGACCCTGCCAGACTTACTTTGTAGTTGAAATGCCTACCTCAAAGAAAAAGTGTGTAATTTAATTGCTTACATCTTAATTAAAAAAAAAAAAATCATGCATGAGAGAAACCCAGACCCATGCCAGCTACAGGTCTACCAATATAGCACCAAATAATGGAAAAATAACCCATACACACAGAAGCACGTGTGCTCATACTCAGAAAACTTGTTTCTTATTTTTTGTGAAGTGTAACAGAAGACTTTATTTGTGTCTTGGTGTCCCTGAATGAACAGAAGTTTTCTACAGCTATTTTCCATTTTGAGGGTTTTAGGGGGGCAAAAAATCCTCACAAATGAATGACTTCTGTTCCCATACTGAAAAATCTGTGATGGTTTTGCCATCTGTTGTATAGCTTCTGCTACTGGCAAAAGTGTCCTGAATATGTTGGCCTTCTGTTTTGTTCCTCAAATATGCTGTGAAGTATCTGCCTCTGTGGCATTTAAATCACTGTCTCACTCCTCCCCAACCAGACCTTGCCAAATATAAAAAAATCAGCCAAAATGCATCTTGTGAGCAGTTCAATCCCAATCCCTGCATGAAGGTGACTGGACCCAGGTGTCCCAGGGAAACTCTCCCTCACCTCATGTCTGTGACTCTGATGGATGTTTTCCTTGGCTGTGTGAAAACGATGGTAGGTGGTCTGGAGGACTGGGAAGCCTTTTTCCAATTGTGACAGGCCACAGATCCAGTGGTTTCCATAGTAAGATTTTAGCCATGAGAGATTTACCAAGGCCTAATCATATGGTCCTAGGCTGCAAAGTCCTAGATTACTCTTTAACCATGATAAAACAGCATCTCCTAATAATGCATTAGCCCTCTATAAATGGAAGTACCATGTGACATGAGGCCCATGACCTTTTAAAGTAATTATTTTTCACCTGGACATTTAATTTATTGTATTTCTCTGACATGATCCATTGTAGATTAATTATTCTGTTTTCTATGAGCTTCTCAGAGAATAAAGGGATTTTAGAAGCTTTCCTCCTCATGGTCTTCTCTATGTAAAGATAGGAGCTGATGCTTTCAACAACTCAGACTTATCTCCATCTACTCTCCATCACTTGTGTGAGGTTTCTCCTGGCTACAACAGACCTTAGGAACTTCCATCCCTTCCAGGACACACTTCTGCAGGCAAAATAATCTTCCTTAGTGCCTCAGACCTCACCTGCCACAACGGGATTGCTGCCAGAAGACTCAGTTCACCCTCAAAAGGGCTTTTCTCTTGTGCTGGGACTGGTAAGAGGAGGGGACCATTAAAGTCAACCCTTCTTGGAGAGGAGAGCACCAGGACAGCAGCTAAGTTTTGTAACACCAGCGGCTTTCAAATCAGCCACCTAAATGTTGCTGGATATTTTGAGTTTTGGACATTACTGGGATTTGATGGCAGAGAGTTTCTATATTCTATTGCTTTTTTTTTGCTCTGCATAGCTACCAGACCTATGAAAACACTGAAACAGAGCTTTTGGATGACATCTTGGAAACCACTGCAAATAAATAATGATTTGCTCCAAGACATAACTTGCAAATTAGGTTTTCCTGGAAAGTTATAAGCTGTTACTCACTGCATGTCTTTTATAATTTAATAGTGGAACTGTCATGTATAATTACTTCCATTACTAATACTAAATAAATTTGTGTTTGGTTTCTATTGATTAAGAAATAAGCTTCTTCATTTTATATGAACTCTTCATCCATAAATCTGCACCTCTACACACAAGTTAGCTTCAAAACTGCTAAGTACACAAACTGCACAAAACCTGAATTTTCAGGTGACCAAAGGCAATAAATCTAGTAGCATAGTGAGAAAGTCTGACCCCAATGGTTTGCCCTAAGAGGTCTATAAGCTAAGACAAATTTTGTGAGACACAGAACAGACCAAACCACTGAATGTCAGAAAGCCAGCTCTTTCACTGGGAAAGTCTGCTACAAGACACTTGCAGCCTTTAAATGTTTTTACAAGAAAAACACTCAGGGCTTATAGCACCATTCTTGTACATTTTAATAGTTAATAATGACAGTCTTCACCTCATGATTAAAGGATGTACTGGAATGTAGCACAGCTGACAAAATGCTCCTAACTCCTGCTTCCCATGGAGAGCAGGCAGGACACCTCAAGTGACTTTTTATTCCCAAGAAAACTACCCAGAAGGTCCTCGGAGAGGCATTTATTTGCCATCACATTTCAGAGGAAACCACTGTGTTGAGTTCAGGTCTGGAAGTGAGGGAAATCTCTGCAGGTGCACTGGGGAGTGGCCTATTGCAGCTTCTTTGGAGCTTTCCTCCCAGAATAGCTGAGAAGGGTCTTGGCATGGCACTGGGACACAAGCAAGAAGCATGGGTTACCTGTGAGCCTGTGGAATATCTTCCAGGTGTCCTTGACCCCGAGGTTTTTCCTGAGCCGATGGAACTCTCTGTACTTTTCCCACTACAGCAATGTGTGCGCAGGCATTTTCCGTATTCTTTACGTACCTGGCCAGGGAAAGAGCGGTGGTGGTTAGCAGAAAGCTCCTCCTGCAGCCCAGTGCCTTCTGATTTTCAACACAGCCCTTGATTTTTCCTCAGTGTTTCATTATAACAAAATCTACTGCAGTGTGTGGGAAAGCCCTCTAGTACCCCTTGCAGCTTAGCTTATGGCTGAGGATGTCACAAGAGACTGCTCCCATGCAGCAAAGCTGCTCATTGGCACCAGCCCATTACAGCATCCTCTGAGGCACATCAAAGGAGTATGGGAGAAAGTGCAGGTACACTATTTATGACTGAAAATTAATATTGTTGTAGATTTGATATAAACTAGCATATTGGCTCATCAAGGTACTAAAAGTTATTGCTTCTGGCAGGGGACTAAGAAAAAAGAATTCCAAGAGAAACATATGAAAGCTATTGATTTTTTATTAAAAATATGTTTCTTGCAGTCAAATTGAAATTTGAGGAAACAGTAGAACCAGCAGCATTAGAGATTATATTCCCAATGCTCAGGGATGGCTGGAGCCTGTTTTTCCACAGAACTGTGCAAGCCAGTCATGTTTTAAATGGGCATTGCAATCAAACTTGTACCACCTTCTTTGCTTCAGAGGAGCTATGCTGCCTTGTGCCAGGACAGGATCTAACCTTCCACCAAGCTTCAGGTGTGACTTTCTATGGGCAGCAATACCCAAAAACCAAATGGGACAGGGCTGAAGGTGAGCAGACTGTACTGAAGAGCCAAAAGAGGGTCATGTTACCCATTGACACAAAAAAAACCCCAAACCATCATGCATGTCCAAACCAGCAGTTGAAAAATTCCTTGAAGCGCATGGTTAGCTGTACAATTTTGCCAAACTCTCCATAAGCATTTCACAACTCTGTGAAGCAACTGCTTAAATAGCAAATTACAGCTTTTTCATTAGGCTCTTCCTTAAGCGCTTTAGACAAACACATACCACAAGTGCCCAATATGCTCGAGTGCCTAATCAATCCTTTCCTGAGAGAAAATAATTCAATTGCTTTAATTAGCCACCCACTGCTTGCCTCTCTGCAGCATTTTGCCAATTTTCTAGGCCATGATAGATAGAAAAGGAAATAATTCTTTTTTTCCCATTTAAATAATACCTCCCTCAGCTCTTAGGTCAGAGAGGTGCATCCACCCAACATCAAGGTGCCAGCTGCATTCTCCTTCCCTCTCCTTCCCTCTGTGCAGCATAAATCAGGAACAATTCCACAGTCACCAGTGGTGGTTTAAGGGTGTAAATTAACTTAAGACAGAAAAGAGAATGGTTCTGTCATGTTGACTGAGAACCCCATGAACCGAGGAGGTTGTGGAGCAGCACAGGGATGCTGGGTTAGGAACTGACCCATTGCAGGGTGCATTGGAGGTGAGAGGATGTACCAGTCAGAAGGGTGTAGAAATTCAAACTCCTCTGAGAGAGGCATCTGCAGGTTTAACAAGCAATGGTGATGCTTCCTACACTGTTACGATCATCTTGCCTGGAAACTCTCTTGCTGAAAGGTTTGGGATCATCAGCAGGAAGTTGCATCTAGCTAAAGCTTTAAAGCTTCTTAAGATGGAAAAACCTGAGATGCAACAAAAAGGACAAAACTCTTAAGCCCAAAAGTATTCCTTGGGTTTCAGAATGACATTTACACACAGCTCTGTAGATCCTAACAGAGGCATCACTTACCTCTTACAGGGCTCACTTTTTATAATTTTGATTATGTTTTCATGGGTCAGATCTCCCTTACCTTGTATAGGAAAATGTGAGTAACAGAGGAGCAAGCCTGTGGCTCTCAGATGGAGAGCAGATCACAACATGGACCTGACTCTATTCAATAAGCCATTTCACCAAAAGATACTGGTTACCCTGAGAAACTGGCACCAGTGTATCCACATTAAAGTCTTCCCTATTGGTTCAGTAAACTGCCCTTTGAAACTAAAATGGACATAGCAAATTATCAGCAGACATGCACAGAATTAGAGAGCCCTGTATAACTTAATTTAAGTAGAGAACAAAAAGGTTTTTAAAAATCCTTATTACTGATTGTCAGAGGCTGTAAATTTGATCTACACATATGCAGAATTTTTATTCTGCTGTGTTTATTTTTTCCCCCTGGAGTTTATCTAAGTTACTCCACTGTTATCTTGCAAATGTTAATTGGGGCATACTTCAATTTCCACCAAAAAGCACTTGTTGTGCTTGCTTTGAGGGAGATTTTCAAAACACTGCTTCAGACCCAAGCAATACAAAGGCTAATGAACCGCTGCAGAACACAGGTCCTTCACTTCTTAAAAAAGCAGGGGAAGCAGCCCCTATTACATCCCATCAACCCACATATGCTGTCACAGAAAGGGGTAATTTCCTGCAGGGACTGCACATGAGGATGCAAAGCTCCACTTTGAGCACTCAGCCACATGAACACTTTCTGGATGCTCTTGGATTCTCTCCCCTCTCACACTGGCATGCAAGGAAGGAGAATCTGGCTGACAGCAGGAAAAGCCCTGACAGAAGGACCCTGCAAACTGACAGCTGCCTTTTCCCTTGTCTCTGACACATCTGCCAGGATTCTGGCTGCTGAAATGCCACTGCCACATGTCAGAACCTCATTCCCCAGCATCTTTCTGGTTTCCAGTCTAAATACCACCCTCATTAGGCGCACAGAGTTAAATCCGTGTGATACAAATTCAGGGCACACAGACCATGCTACTCTGTGGTTGTTAGGCAACAAAACACCTTGTTACCACTTCCCTTGCTGCTGGGAACCATCATCTTACCTTTTTCTGGAGGACACAATGGAAAATGAATATAAACATTCCCTGCAGAGAATTGAATATGGTGAAGAGATACGCCATGATGACTGTGCTTTCATTAATATACATGAGTCCGAATGCCCAGGTCAATCCTAATAGGCAGAGTAGGGCTATTGCACCTATAACCCAGGACCTGTCAGGAGAAACAAAAAAAAAAAAAAAAAAAAAAAAGAAAAAAAGGAATGGGATTGGTTTTTCATCTACACAAAAGAAGGCATGTGTCTACAGGCAGGACGATTTTGCTGGTTTTAGCAAGAAGAAAGTAGCATATCAAAATAAATCATAGAGAGCTTTTGTCTTCAAGCTGAATGCAGTTTACAAATCTTCAAGCTTGAGGAAATACAAGGAAGTGGAAGTGTTATGAGCACAGAAATTTATCATAACCAAAGCACATTTGTAACCACAATGTCTCTTTTTTTAAATATGTAAAAGCATGTGCATGTAAATGATATGTAGATGTTATTTCTGCAAATGGAGTGAAAGAAAATAAACCAAATGAAATGACAACTCTGATTGTCACTTTTTTTAGTGTCCACTGGTTTCACAGGACTGCCAGCTGGATTAGCTTCTTTATTTACACTTAACACCAAGACACATGTATTGCTGCATTTTAGCTAGTCTCCCATATGCCTGTAATCCAGATAAACAGCTACAGGCAGGTGGGCAAGCATTCCCTGCTTGCCAGATCCACTCCACACAAGGATGTTCTTTGCAATGCTCCTTCACATGTCTTCCACCCTGCGATGAGGGGAAGTGTGTATACTCGTACAGGCACTCACACACTACCTCTGCTAATGTGGGAGCTACTGCCACACTTCTCCCTGGAGGAAAGCAGGGGCAATCCTTCTTCACATGGGCTGTAAAACTAGGATTATCACTTGCTCCACCTCAGGAGGGCAGTGGGAGTAGAGGTGTGACCACTGCTTGTCCCCAAATGTTGTTCCAACAAATAGGGGGCGCAGGAGGCTTTTGCCTGCTTTCTCCCACTGACTTTCTACCAAAGAAAACCTGGACAACAGAGCTGGGGACATGAGATGACTGCTGCATGGCCTGGGTTTGGGCATATTTGGGCTTCCATCTGCTACACAGAGAATGGGACAAGGAGAAGAAAGATGAAGCAGCAGCAGCTTGCAGGGAGAAAAAGCAGTCCCGCAGAGGTCAGATAGACAATCTCTGCTACGGAGAGGCCATGGAAGCTACAGCCTTGAATCCTGTTCCTTTTAGCAGGGCTTACCACAAACAAAAGCATACCAATGTTGTATTCAAGTCTTTTGTTGTTTGTTTTATTTTTTTCCTTTAGGTATTAGAATGAAAATGCAGCATTAAGTCTTCCACTGAAGTTTATAAAATATGTATTATTTAACCACATGACCAAAGGAGCTCCCTAAAGTAACCACTTATTAAGACAGTTCTTTAAAAATCACTATTATGGACCTAGCAGATCAGAACAGCTCCTTTGAAGCATTTCCAGTCAATCCCATTAATAAATATTTAGCGTGATGCAAATTGAAAATACACTCTCACATCCTTCAGAAAGGTAGTCACTAAATAAAGCGACAGCTTTAGTCGCTTGAGATATTTTTCTCCCCGAGATTCCACCATCAGTGAGAGCATGCTATTGTCCTAGTTGCATAGCAATTAATAAAATACAAATAATTTTCTTTTTCAACAAAAAAAAAAAAAGAAGAACAAATTAAGTGGAAACCCCCCTTTTTCTCCTCTTTCCACTTTTCCCATCCCCAGATAAAATCTTCCTGCATTTCCAGAGTATTTTAAAAATTATTCCCTGGAAATCAGAAAAGTATTCTGCTCTGAAGCACAGCCCATTGTTGAATCTGATTACAGAGCCTTTGGCTGCAGAGGTGTACAGGAATGAAACAATTATTTAGTGAAGATATACTGCCTTCAGTGATGGAAAGGAATCTGTGGGCTAGAAGACCCCCTACAGTGCAAACTGCACACATTAACAGTGTTGTGCCTCAGAAAACACGACCTGGCAATAAGAGGACCTGGAGATTACTGAGAATAGCTCCATCCCGCATCCGCAGCAAAAAACACAACCAAGCGATGAAACAGAACATGGGAATGGCGCTGAAAGAACGAATACAAAGGACTCTTCACCAGAAGAACAAACTGAAAGTCTACGGCAAAGTTGATTTGCTTCTATTTGTGCTACTGCATATTAATTTTTTGGTTTCAGGAGAAAGAGCGTGGATGCCCTAAGGTATATAATTTCTAGGCATTTTTGGCTTTCTTCACAGGTTTGGGGGTTGTCTTTTTTTGGTGTAGCTTGAGATTTTTATCTTGCTCTTAGTACAGACTTGCTGCTGCTTTTCCATGGCTTTTCTTTCCTGTAGTGGAATTTTATTGCAATAAAGAAACAAAAATATCCAGTTTTTGGTGCATTTGAAAATCAGTGGTTTATAATTAGGGACAATCAGAAGGTACTCCAATGAGTAAGGAGCCACCAATGCACATAGATTTGCTTGCACTACTCCCATTAACTAGAAAGGGAATCATGGGGAATAGCAACCAAGCACCTTTTTGAAAATTTGCTTCTGTATTTATACTACCATAAAGCAATCCCAGTGACAGAGCACAGTGGACCACAGGCTGCTATTGGTAGAACAAGTCTGTACTAAGCAGGATTAAACTGGGAGCTTTCACCTTGAATTCAAGTAACATCCAATTAAAGAATATAAAGCAAATAAGGTGACAATTGGTTGGCAATACACATGCAGCACATTTACTCTGCACCTTAGCTGTATGCCTGACCATTTTCCTGCACAGTTTGCTCTTCTGCCTCAAAAGCGAATGACAGAAGCTTTAATGATTTTTCAATATTGATCTGACAGCTGGTTCATGAGACCACACTGATAAATGAAATTTATCAGCCATTCAGGTCATTCTTACTTGATGAAGGGTCTGTTATCCTCATAGCTAAAGAATGCATAGACATAAAGACAAGAACACCAACATTAGAAATATAATGACATAGAGAATAGCATTCACTGCTAGTCCCCCTCCCTTCTCCCACCAGCCATCACCTAAACCAAAGGTGGACTGGCACCAGGTGAGCCTGGAACACACCAGCCAGCCTGACTTGCTGCCCCAGGGTGTGGGAATCCAGGGCTTCCCTCTGGCTGCCCTGGCAGGGGGTCAGGAACCCCCCTGGACAGAGCCCCCAGAGACACTGTCTCTGATCTCTGTCCATGGAAAAGAGTTTTCAATCTTACAGGATGAATTACAAGCTCTGAGTGTTTGATATGAGTAATAATTAAGTGTGGCACGGGTAAAAAAGTAAAATTTTAGGATTCTAGATTAGGGGTTCAAAGGGGACAAGATGGAGGAAATTGGGTGTGTCTTGTCCTTTTTCTTCTTCATGCCCTCCATGTTTCACTGTAGTGTTGGCATTTTTCTGTTGGTTTAGGTTGGGGACACACTGTTCAATGTAGATCATAGATATTGGCACATTATTGTAAATATAGTACACGTAGTTTCTGGTATATAATGTTTGTAACATCCCACTGGGGGCAGAGCCCCACACGCTGCCCTGCAGGACAGACCTGTGGCAGGGCAGCAGAACATGTTAGAGATAAGCAAGAATAAACAACCTTGAAAACCAACACAGACAAATTATGGCTTCTTTTTTGGCAATGGGGCAGAAAGACAGACTTTTTACAATCTTGGAATCATCCATACCACAGATTCCAACACCACAGAATTGAAACATGACTGGGAATGCTGGCTTAATGCACAGAAGCAGGCATCTCTAGCTGTGTGCTGCAGCTACCCCTCCTGGCCACCATCCCACAGCTGTCAATGGACTTTGAGATATCTTTCAAATGCAATGGCTGTCCCTGGAGAAGACAAGTTTTGAAACCCCAGCATAGTTACCACAGGCGACTTACACGTGTTCAAGTGGCAAAACTTCACCGCACCTCCAGCCTGAGGGGCGGGAGCGCGTTACAGGAGTATCTTTATTGCCATTTACTTTTCCAAAGTGGAACTTCCAAGTGGCCACATTATAAGTCAGACTGCAGCATTCTTGAGATAATGGCATCAGAAACTTCTAAAGCCCTGGGTGACAAGGCATGGACCTATTTACTACCATTTCATGGGGAAGAGCAAAGAAAGGCCTCTGCCAAGCAAGGGCAAAAAGCAGCTCACTGCAGTGATGAAGAAACTAAGCTGGATCACTCAGCTCCTGTCACTGTGGGAACACAAAATTAGTTACATCCATTTTCCATGGGGAATCTCCCATACCTTCTGGGACAGGCTGTGTGCCTAATCCTGCCTGTGTGGCAGGCAAGGTGCAACAACTCCCAGGCCTCCTCTCCCCACTGACATGGAGCTTTTGAACCTGTGATCCCTTGCACAAACTCCCATGGGTGCCAGAGATGGAGGATGGCTCAATACGTTCATCTCATCACCCCTGTCAACACAGGCAGGGCCAGTCCATCCTAGTGAGACCTCATTGGGTCAATACTGGCAACCTGCAGCTCCTCTACAATGCAATTAAATGAAATGAAGATATGAGACAACCTGGAGCTGTCAGCCCAGCAGCGTGGGCAGGAACAGGGCCTGGATTTCTATTACTGTGTTCACAAGCATGCAGGTTTTATGGTAAAGATTTTATACTGAAAAGCAGTCAGCATTAGATTATAAAAGTACAGAGTTAGAATTGTTGCTGTTACTATCCAGACCTCTTACAAAGTTTTTCAGCAACCCATAATAGCACTTCTTCGAGACAGCTGAAGGTTCCATTTCATTTTTTGTACAGACAAAATGCAAAACTGGTAAACTCAGATTCCCTTTGAGCTTGAGGCTAACACTTCAAAGCAGCTGAGGAAAAAACCACCAAAAATACCTTAGCAGTTTTTACCCTATTTCCAGCGTGGATGTGTCCAGGACCCACTGCCCAAAAGAAACACGTGCCTAAAGGAGTGATATTTTCAAAGATGCCTAACTCCCAGGGGCCACAGAATTTAGTGTCTTGTGGCTCTCATGAAATACAATCCTTTTCATATTATCAGCTCAAGTGTTGTAAGAAGCTTAACTCTTGTGTTAGCCACAATTTCTGACAAAAATTACTTCAGCATGCTTTGGTTTTTTTTCACCCTTGGTGAAGTCTGTGAAACCTATCAGTGGTGCAGTAATACTCTGTCATTATCTGCAATACATAAAACCTATGGCTTAGACAAGAGAAAAGCCTGGGAAAAGCCTCAAGTTCCCAGAAAAATTGAGGTGCTGACTGGAAAACTGAGATTATATTCACTAGGAGTAAAAGCGAATAATAGTTGAAGCAGAAACTGTTGGAAAATCCAGCCTAGCACAGCCTGAAATGCTGCATTTGAAGTGCTATCTCCATATTTGGTTAAATTATTCCAATAGCTGGCAGTAAGGGATAAAGCCCATTGCATTTAAATTATGTGACCCTGCTCCCCCCACAGATAATGTCAGACTAGAACTCTCAAAAAGGAATTTATCTCTTAAAAGAACAGGTATTTAAGGTAGGCAGGGCTTCACCATTCCCCGAAGAAATGCATTTCTCTACTGACTGTAGAAGAAACCTGAATGATGGCTTAGATGGAGGCTCCATTTTCAAATACCTGAAGGTAAAAAGCTGATCTTTAGTGGCTGCATTATTCATTGAACCCGTGAAATCTTACCTCACCTCCCTTGTGTTTCTTTGCAGCCCAGATGATGGATAGTGGATGGTCTACCAAGCTGTATAAATACCTAATTCATTTTCTAATCTTAAAAAAGCCCTGACTTTACCTTGGGGCAAAGACTTCTTAAGGTTAATTACACATCATGTAAAACTCTTTCAAAATCTTATTTAAGTTAGATGTCTTTCAATTTCCCAGAGTACCTTCTCCTTCAGTGATGAGAAAGGATTGTTCACATTACCTTCTATCTTCCTATATCTGGTCTGTATTTTTAGACCAATACTTTTAAAAAAAATTGCAAAAATTAACTACTTATATCCTTGTTTTGATTAAATTTTCTTAAGAAATTTCAAAATCAATTAATCCTAAGCTCAGGAACCCCTTTTGCACTGCCTATCCTTTTAAAACCCCAAGAAACACCCTTTTGTCATCAGGAGACCGAATTGCTGGGATATACATGGACAGCCCAAAACAGTTAAAGACAATCTGCAATTTATTAGAAACAAATTACTTTCCTGTATCTGGATTAGCAATATCATGCAATGTTAAAGCTTTCACTTTTTCTGCAGCAGGAAAAGTAAATCAAGAATTTACCTTCACATGAAGATTGGTTCTAAAATGTTGCTGAACAGAGAAACTCTGTTTTCAGAAAGCAGCTATTCAGCTCTCATTTAAAAAGAATAATGGCTGGTCTTCTTACGCTTGAAAAGAGCTTTTATTATTATTATTTTTTTTTTTAATTTAACAAACTGTAGTTTTGAGCCACATTTAGAGTAAACCTAGGCCTTTAATAAAACTCTACATAACTAATTGACTTTACATATTATAATTTTTTACAACCTTTCAAACTTTAGCTTTACTTAACTTGAATTTATCACTCTTTTGACAATTCCAAGTATTTCCCCATCTCTATGATAGCAGGAAAAGACTCAGTAAGCACAAGTACTGATGCCATGGGCCCCAAAATAACTGTTTGGATAGCAAGGAAAAACACCACGGTGAGTATACAGGACCTTTAGCAGCTGTTAGGGGTGATGAAACCCAAATAAAAACAGATGGATGATGTGCCCCCACAAAAGCATTCAGAAAGACCCATGGAATTAATTTTAACATGGTGCAAATAAAGCAGAGAGGCAGATGTTTCCTGTAGGCAAGCAGGAGGGAAACACAAAATAAAGTGCGCTATTGTGTCTCCCCTCTGCCTGCCAATATGAAGTAGTAGGGATGTTGTGCTTTTTTTTTTTCTTTTTCAAATTTCAAGGATTAGAAAAGATTGATTTATTGAAGGAGTTGGAAAGGCCAGCACTCCCCTCATAAAGCAAACAGGTTCATCGTTAATTAGCAAAGGAGCATCTTCATGGTGAGAAAAATCAATACCAAGCAATAAAAGAGTGCTTAAAGGATTTTGCCTTTGCATTTTGTGACAAAGTTACCACCTTGATGGCATGAAGCCAAATGACTTCCTAATCTCCTTCCTTAGGCTGCTGGTGTTCATCAAACAGGCTTCCAAGTCATCATTTACCAGTCTTATCTTCTGGCTCCCACACTGTCTTTGACAGGAGGTGGCCAGTCCCCTCAAGACATCAGTAAGCTTGCCACAGCTTCATTTGCAGGAGAAACTCCTGCCTTTACATGCCTTGAACATCTGTAAAGGTTTAGGCTTCACCACCTGGCATAAGGGTAATTTTATATATATTGAAAGCCATGGCCACTTTTGATTTCCACCAGTAGATCTGCAAATATTGTTCAGACAAATGAGGCCAAACCTTTCTTGGCTCTATGTGATGCCTAAGCCTATGATTTGGGGCAACCAGTGGCAAGACTTTTCTGCCAAAGGCAAAGCATCATCCTTTTCTGTTCAACTCACCCAGGGAAGTCATGTCCTGCTTTCTCAGACTTGTCCTTAATTATTGCAATTGGAAAGAGCAATTCTGTTAAGTTCATCTCATTTTCTGTAAGTGATTAATTACCCTCAGAATTGCTTACCCTGTTTATTTCCTTCCTCCTCACTTTGCAAAGGCATGGCACAATTATTGAAGCCACACTGATGTGTAACCACATATCTAATTGTTTCCACACTATATGGATTCAGCAAAGCCTTTAGACACATTTGTATTATCCAAATAGCACCAGCAGGGCTTGCTGACAAAGTGCTTAAAATGCATGGCCTTTTAAAACAATAATCATGATTTATGGGTTCACAGAAAGATTGTAGGTATTAAATATCTTCCAGGACACTCTCAAATCAATAACCACTGATTGATTTTT